AGCTATTCACATATATCAGTAAGTCTTCAATTACTGTTTTCGGTTGGCAAGCAGATACTCCGCCGAGAAGTCTACATTCCTTCACACAGCTTAAACTAGCAGTCAGAGGTTTTATGGACTAATCTCATCCTCTCTAGTCTATTCCCAGTTTACACCCAGTTAGAATATACAGGCAGTCAACGATGACGTGAAACCTGGTATGAATGAATAAAGGCAAGTACAAACAAACAAATCAATAGTAGGAACTGGTGTAAAAGCGAAGCAGTTCAAGTAGTAACAATCTACTGGACTATGCAAAGAAGTGGACAAGGAAAGAATCCCATTATTGTCGTCGAAAGTGCATGAGAAGAAAAATAGATAAAGGTCAATGAAAATATCCAAAACTTTGAAGATAGCATTTATCTGCCCAATTGTGATCAATTTTTAGCCATACTGTCAAGTCTCTAGACACGGATTTCTGTCACTTAGAAGAGCACTAATGTGAAGCATGAAGCTATGTATAATACAATAGACAATATGTTAGTGAAATATCTACAAGCGACAAACTTCATGATACATTTCGATTTGGATAATCATAAACTGAACTATAAAAATGTAAAACCACTTATCTAATTTTAAGACTAAAATATGAAACAAACATGGGGATATCAATGTCAGGAAATCAAATAATTTAGCATAAAGACTTAGCACTACAGAATAAGTAAATAATTCCTCCAACTTTTCACATTAAATAGAGCGAGAACGATAGCTTAAGCAGAATAGTATGGACCAACTTTATTTCGAGGTTTCTCATCAGCTTATGACAACCGAAAACAATTTGAACACCAATTTATGCAGAATTTTTATATATTCGAATCAGTTTGGTAGAAATTTGTCGGCTTGAACTAAAGACGACATTGATATGAAGTACTGTATATATCCAATCAACAATTCCACAATCCAAAGTCTCGTCAGAAATTTAATGGATAATGAGACAATAGTATTACCTCGATCACAGAAGGGTTCTGGTATAGTCATTATGGACAAGGATGGATATGTACATGAAAATAAAATGAATCCTAGGTGATTCATCAAAATTTATAATTGATAGTTCCGACAAAGATATGACTGAGGCTACAGAGAGGCGGATTACAAGGAAGAATTTTATCGACAACTCGCCCTATGATGAACTCAAACCACGAGGGTCTCGCCTATCATATTTATATGGCTTGCCAAAGTTACACAAACCTAGTATCCCGATGTTGTCTATGGTAAACTCACCCTTTAACAAGCCCACTCGTTGGTTAGCAAAGCAGTTGAAACCAATTCCTGAAAAGTCGGCAATCCATGCGGTAAAAAATAGATTTGAATTTGCTCGGAAACTGGGAGGTTTAAATATTTCTGATAAATTCATGGTGTCTAATTGATGTGTCTTCGCTGTCTACAAGGAAACTCATGGAAGAAACTGTAGAAATTATATTTCAGGACTCTGATCCTCTGCCTCTACCTGAAGAAGAACTCAAGCACCTTGTACTCATGTGGACTAAGAATGTCCAATTTGAATTCAACAACGTCTGTCGTCGAAATGATGGAGTTGCGATGAGCAGTCCCTTGGGTCCGATACTAGTTGTTATCTTTATAGGGAACCTTGAACGTACGAGTATGATGTAACAGATGAGAAAACCTTATACAGTACATATGTTGATGATACACTCGTTGTTTGCAATAACCTCAAATATGCCTCAGATTTGCTTAGTCTACTCAAGCAAAACATCGAATTTACACTGGAATATGAACAGAATGATAAATTTCACGTTGTTGATCTTGGAATTCAATGAACTACGAAGCTAATATACTTAGATGTATCCATCGTAAAAATTCTTGGAGCGGAATGTATCTTAACTCCAACAGCTTTTGTCCTATTAGCCATAAAAAAGAGTCGGTAAAAACACTCTTCAACCGTATAGGACATTTTTGTTCGAAAGAGACACCAGAAGAGGGAATGAGTGTTTTGGAAAATTGCAACTAGAGTAACCAATATCTACAGAAATCCATCAATAAGCAGAAAAATGTATCGACCGAAACCGTAAGCTGTGATACAGTTGAGAAGAAGCGTTTTCCTAAATCTTGTTTTCAAAGGTGACGGTTCTGGTAGAACTAGTTATAGAGTAAATGCTACCTTGAGAAGGACCTATCCAGCTAATAGGTTAATCGCACTCTACCGAACAAATTGCTTACTGAGACAACCAAAGGTTGACAAGTCCCCTCTTCATGTTATCTTCAACCACATCTACCAATTCACACGTACGTGCCGAAGCATATACATTGGACGAACAGAAAGAAGAGTTTGAGACCCCATGTCTGAGCATATTCCAAGGGATTTGAGACTGAGAGGTGGAAGAGTTTTCAACAGCGCTATTGCTCGTTACCTTATCGATAGTGGATAGCAGACTTCAGAAAAAAAAGTTATCAGTCTGTGTCTATCACGGTAAACACTTGCTTTATTGATAATCATCATGCTTTTTACATATCATTGTCAATTCACAAAAGTTGGTTTTATTTTTGCTAATTTACATTTCACACCGTTGATCCAGTTTATCTGAATTCTACTCACATTAGCTCTTAGTTAACATAAATCTCATGACCTTTCACACATTTTGTGTAACCTTTCTTAACATACTGAATACAATTGTCTCCCCCTCTAATCCAACTTACGCTCTAGAATACTTGCCTATCTCCTTCTATATATCGGCAAACTTAGTTCTGCATATTCATTCACTCAATTCGTGTTACCTTTAATTCAAGCTAACAATTTTCTACCAAACTTATTCGAGTGTGAACATTTTTGTATAAATTGATCCTCAAATTGTTTTACGCTATAAGACAGTTGATGCGAAACCACCAAATAAAATGGATCCATGATATTCTAGTGTTCTCGTTGTTTAAATTTGTGAAGGGAAAGAATGGTGTGGAATTTTCACATTACCTATTAAATAATATAGACTGCACCTAGGACAATGCTTACCACTACATTACCAGTTCGCGTGAAACGAAAAAATACATTAGTAGTCACTTTAAAGTTTGTGCCAGCCGATACCCTCTACCTTGATGCCATGGTCTGGCTTGTATATCGCAAAGACACAACGAGCTTTGCTCTCAAGGTTCTACCAAGCCAGAAATGTCCGTTGGTTAGTGGTAAGATGAAAAGCAGTTACCATTGTAGTGTACATTACCATACTATGATAGGGGTTTGAGGGCGAAGTCGTACTGGTGCTAGTTGGATGGGATGTGACAGCAGCAAGGTGTTCCCCTTGGATGACTAGTAGTGCCAGGTAGATGCTGCCTTCCCAACGGGAAGAGGGGATTAGGAAAGGTCGGTACCAAAAACAATACATTCACCCTGCGCCACTGTTTTCCGGTTCCGGAGGTATAAGTACGCTGTTAGAACAACTTCCTACAAAAAGCCATGTGTGACATGTCTCAAGTAGATGTCCCCTGGGCTCTGTGCCCACAAACTTTTTCTCTTTCAGGTACCTTAAGAAGAAATAGCCTTCCGCGGTGCGGGTAGCTGGAAAGTGTCAACCGCCCGCATGCTTCCAATAGTACACAAGACCTAACTATACATAACCTATCCTCCTCAACTCTGTCTCCTTCTTTGCCTTCCCCTCGTGATATTAATATTAAGCCCCTTACACCTTAATAAACCTACCATTGTGAACGATCAAAGCCATCGAAACCTCATTCAGAGCCTCCTAAGGCCCTACCCGCCATCAATTTCATGTAGGCGCTCCCAACTTGCGAACTCTATGTGGAATCACACAGCAAGCGCCGCTCACCAAAACTATGGAATCTCCAGCCATGGTAGTTAGTATGTTGTGTTTCTGAGATAGATACACAGGAGTCGACTGTGGTTATTAAGTTGACCTCACATGGCCATAGAGGTGAATCTTCAAAATTCACCTAAAGAGTATCCGGAGACAATTGCTAGCGCTCCTGGACTTGCTGGTGTAGACATAGCACTGAAATGTATAGTATTAAGTGCGCTTCTCGACTGGATTCCAATAAACACCCACCTATGCGCTGTTCGACTGAAGGATCTGTAAGGACTAGAAAGGCTTGTGAGACTAACCGATGCCTATTCCAAATCTCCGCCTACGCACCCTAAGACTGAAGTTCGTAAGACAAGGCATTTGGAAGTAGAATACATGCAATGATTACAAGGTTTTGACCACAGATGTTTTCATAGCATTGGTCGCGTGTGAGAAATGTTAAGATCAAGCGACGAGTACTACGCAAGACAAGCAAGTCGGTTAGTGAGGTTGTGAACCTTAGTCGACTGAAATGGCTTGGACATGTACTGCATATCCTAAGCCTCTACTTACCTCGACGTGCGATGCTAGGGGAAGTTGGATTGGGTTGGAAGAGGATCAGGGATGACCAGACTAAAAGATGTCACCAGTGCATGAAGTCCCTTACTGTTGATCTGAATTGTATGAGATGTAGACTGTCTGGTTAGGGTGGGTGAAACGGAAGGAGTCAGTGGTTGAGAGGTCTCAGTGATATGGCTGGAAATCGGTCACAACAGCGCAGATGCATTCACTCTTTGACTTCTTCTAATACTTGAATATTCACACTAACCTTTATCTTTAGATTGGTTACTCTGTCACATAACTTTGTATAATTAGGGATCACTCTTTTTCTATCCATCTGTTCTCTGTGCACTACTGTGAAGTGTGACAACTTCAGCCGATGCACCTATGTGCGAGGTCCTACGTTGACTTTGTCAGCTAACCAGTTAAATTTTGTGCGTTAAGCAACCAATTACACATTATCCGAGGGTTAATGTTACTACCTAGATGCCCAAACCTTGTTAGATCCAGCGGACTTTGGTCACTTGGTTGAGGCATGACCAGAATAACTTGTTTAGCTTCAGGACTAAGTAACCTAAGCTTCAAAATTCCAAAGAACATAGGTTTCCTTAGGGTTATTAGTACGGAAAACTTAGATCAGGCAGGGTTACTTGTTGCCTAACTATTAACTTTTAACACCGACAACATAACAAACAGACTCTAAAATAACAATATACAACTGAATCAACATGAAGAAATCATGATAAATATAAATCTACCATACCGTGAAAAAAAAATAAGACAAGAAAGCAAAATGTCTATATAAATCACTGAGAATTTGTGAATGTAAAGAATTCCTGATCAATAGTAATGTTCAGTAAACAGGTGAAAAAGAGTATTTTAGCAAATATTAAGATCATTAGTAAGATATTGTTTTTATACACCAAGTATTATGTAGATTAGTCTGTCAACTTAGGTAGTTATATTGCCCTACCCAGGTAATATGAAAATACAAAATTTCATGGAATTCAATTCAGTGGTGCTCTTGAAAGTTCACTACCTATTTGATATGTGATAATCTTATTCCAATCTAGCTTCGATCGAGTTAACGGAAGTTGCCTACGAAGCGCTTTGAAGGTTGTATCGGACATTGTTTTAAAATTTTCTCCAACAGCAACCTATAAATAAAACAATAGAAATCATTCTCAAGGATTTAGAGACAAACAGTAGGGTATAAGTAACAACAGAGGAGTTAAATAAATGGGAATACAAATATGGATAGACAGATACATTTGACAGAACTAAAAAGTTGCAAAAGAATTACGAAGAAATTCATTGTGATTATATTAATTATTACTTATCCCTTGGGTTCCTAGTGGAATATACGGCTTCAGTAGCACGTCTCCATTGCACTCTCTTCTCTACAGCCTCTTGAACCTGGCTCCACGACTTCCTCACAAAATCTCCTCCATGTCACCCTCACCTTAAACACCCAACTCATCGTTTCCCATTTGGATTCCACTCGACCGCCTGGCCTGGCCTGGTCTGGCCTGGCGCGTAATCACCCCATTCGGCCTTCTCAGTGTATGCCCAATCCAATCCATCTCCACTTTCTTCCTCTACATATTTGTTGGGTAATAGGTTGTTGGTTGGTTCGTTACCAGGCCAGAGTTCCTTGTTGCTTATTCTTTCTGACCTTCTCATCTGATGTTCAGTGTCAGTATCGAGCCAGCCTAGGTAGCTGTTGATGAATGTCTGTAGTTTGTTGGAAATACTTTTCGTAACGCGCCAAGTCTCTCAACTATCACATAACAGTACTGACTTGACTGACTTGGTGTTCAAAATTCGGATTCTGTTCATGCTTTATGCTGAGTGCAGTAGATCTCCACACTGATTTCGGGTTAATGAAAGTCTGTCTTGCTGTCTTTCCGATCCTGGTTTTGATATCCTCATCTGGGCCATCGCCGCCGGTAGTTGAGACGATGCTGCCTAGTTGTTAGATAAAAGAGACTATTTCCTTTAGGTTGATGGTGATTGGTGTTTGTTGTTGTTGTTGTTGATTGGGTATCTTCATCACCTCTGTCTTCTCTACATTCACTTGAAGTCCCGTCTTCCTTCGCTGCCTCTTTAGCCAACTTGTTGGTTTTGCCTCTAGATCTTCGAGTTTGTGCCACAAGACATTAGATTTAAATCATGATCGGCGAAATCCAAATCCTCTCCTGGGGTATTTCCATCGGTCAAACAGCGTATGCCCATCTTCTCACTCTTCACGGTTTGCTGCATGATCCAGTCCACCACAATCAGGAAGATGATCAGTGATAGTAAGCAGCCTTATCTTACTCCTGTCTTAACTTCAAAGGCATCACTGAGCTTTCCATTGTGAACAACTTGGCATGTGGCGTCTTCATATAGTTGTTGAATGAGGTTGATAAAGGTTTGTGGTACTCTGTAGTGTTGAAGCAGTATCCAAATTACTTGTCGGTCGACGCTATCGAAGACCTTTTCAAAGTCGGTAAAGTTTTCATATACCTGCTGTGATTAGTTAAGTACTATTTAGTATCCAATTAACGTAGTCTAATAAACTTGGTTAGAAGCTGAAAATACAAAGACAAGCGTCAATTTTTTATCTGTAACCTCCACAGGGATACACTTTAGTGCAGCTAATGTGTAAAGCCAAACTTACTTTCTCTTTTAATTGACTGGAGACAGTCGGCACTAAGTCTTACCGAAATGCAGAATGATCTATAGAATTCGGTCAATTCTAAGGACTAGACAAATGAAATTGATTGCCCTCCAGTGACCAGTCAATTTCAATATCTCTTTCAGCAACTACATGCAATTTTATATGCTAGTCAATCAACTCCATCGATTTATGTGACGGGTACCTGGCTACCTAAACCTCAGTAGGTTATGTACGGTTCGAACCCGGTATACATTTGTTGAAAACCAACTCCTTAACCCGATGAGCCACATTCTCATATAGCTACAGTAAACTTTAACCCAAATCCTGAACATTAGGTTAGTTGATAAGGCCCCGATATGAGCCTAACAGTTGATACAGACAATATTGCAGATAGCCGCTACCTAGATACGTTAGCTAACCGTTACAGTTCGTTTCCGCGTATACGCTTGAGTCAGCTGAATTGCCCACAGAATCTAGTAATTCTCTATCAACATACACAAGAGACGAACACCCAGAAAAATTTCTTCGTATTAAACTCAAAGATTATTGTAAAAGTTTCAAGCTAGAAATAGCTCGGTAAAAAACAATCAATGACATGAAACTCATGGCGATGTAGACTGAAAGTGAATTCCAGAAAAGAAAATTAAAGGTTCAACAAAAGGTCAGAAAGATAACAAACTCTAGTAACACTGTATAAAACTGAACTGAAACAGCAACAAATCCAAACTAGCTACCAAAAACATGGAATTATTTGCTAAACCAACTCAAGTTCGGTTTGAAAGTGTTTTTTTAAAAATCGATCAATAATAAACAAAACATTTCCTTTTATAACCTCAAAGCAGTTAGTCTGACCTATATAGCTTGATGGAGATGGATTGGGCATACACTGAGAAGGCCAACTGGAGACATCACGCGTCAGGCCCTCGAGTGGAATCCCCATGGGAAGCGACGAGTTGGACGTCCGAGGGTGACATGGAGGAGATCGTGCGAGGAGGAAATGAGGGCTCCTGGGCTGTCGTGGAGCCAGGTTAAAAAGATTTCAGAGAACAGAGTTTACTGGAGACGTGCTACTGAAGCCCTATATTCCATTAAGAACCCAAGGAACTAATAATAATAATATAGCTTGATAAATCTAAGGATCCATAAGCCTCTGACACTTCGTTGACTCTTAGGATCTATGAATGCATCTCGCATGTAATGGCCTCAGACCCGGTAAATGATATATTATTCAACCTTTGCTAAGTGCTATTCATTCAAACGTTCACAACCAAAATATTTGTTCAAAAGTATGCTTACCTGATATGCATAGTCAGCATCTTTTATTCGCTTCATCGACTCTCTGGCAAATTCTTTTGGTACGGACCCCGAGACAACAAAATCAACCTCTTTAGATGAAATCAACTGAACATTACCCTCCTCGTATAAGTGTGTCTATATCAAACAAAAAGTTGAGAGAAACATTTGAAACAAAAATTCAGGAAATGAATATTACTAACTTTAATCTACTGATATCAGTTGAATAAATATTAAGTTCAGGGGACTGCTATAAACTGAATAAAAGCTGCTATACTGAAATTGACAGTAGAAACCTTGTGATGAACAGAGATGGCAGCTAATTCTTGTAAAAAAAAACTTTGTATCTCATGTTTTGTTAGTTACTCAGATCTTAATGTTCCTCTTTGCACACAGTGAGGATAGATACGTTTATAGCTACGAATAAAACATCTCTTTAGACCGTTTATCGCCGCCATTTAAAAGTTCTGTAAATCAAATCCTTTTCAATGAAAAAATTTTTAAATTGATTTTTTTAAATTTAGCCCCCCGCTTTTCTATATCACTAGTTAACATATCATCAGAACTTATTTTCTAAGTTTCACTGATTAAGCAATTCACCAAATTTTTTTTCTACCGGAAATATACCAATAAATGGACTATCCTGTCCAGGTACAAAGTTTGTATTCTAAGTTGCAAAGCTCCTATGTTTCTAATTAGCAAGGCATTTAAGAGTCAGTCTAAAAAAAATTATTTATGGCCTTCTGCTACAAAGGATTTCAGAGGCTTGATAAACAACTCACAGAAAAAACTATACAATATTTTCTGTCACCATATTGAAAGTAGAATTTACAATCAGAATCATTCCACCTGCTAAGTAAAATGGAGGACTCTATTTTACTTAGCAGGTGGAATGATTCTGATTGTAAATTCTATTTTCAATATGGTGACAGAATATATATATATATATATATATATATATATATATATATATATATATATATATATTATTGCAACTGCACTTGGGGAGAAAGTTACATCAGCTGCCAGTACTAACGTTTTTTAGTACTGACTGATTAAAAAGTAATGACAATGATCACTAGCTTTACATTACACAAACGCATCTCATCAGTTGTTCATTAGATCCCGAGTCCAACTACCAAACATAGTCTATATTCTCTAGATGGTTAAAGTTGTAGTTAAAAAAGATGAATCCAGAGTAAGACAAAACTAGACTCTCCAAGCAACCATGTCCATATTCATGCACTGTGCACTGAACTATACTTATTATTTGAGAGCTTATGATACTATTTGGTTAGTGAAACCTCGCTATTTGGAGCACGGTTCTAACCTGCGATGTCAGAGTTTTGTGTGCACAATAGACTTATCCGAACTCCCAGTCTTCTATGACCTTTAAGTAACATAAATATAATATTATTTCGACTTATTCTCTGTGCATATTTGTATTTTTTTTCTGACAATATTTTACTTATGTAATCCACTGGTCCCACTACACATATCTGCCCCCAAAACGCCCCGATATGGATTCGGCTGTGATAATTCTAGTCATCCCTTCTCGTATGACCCACGTCCTTAGCCTATACTGGGAAAGTCTTCATGAGTCAGAGGGTGTTTCCACAAAAGTGAGAGGATGGAAGTAAACGTTCGGTGCTATAACCGAATTAGTGTACTCGGATAGTGCACCTAGGAAAGTTAAAAGAAACTTGATTTTAAACAAGTGGTGCATGGGCGCCACCATCGAGAATAGAGGAATGGAGTATAAGCCATGGGAATGAAGCACCCTATGCTGCTGCGCTGCTATGAAAATCTGACTTCAAGTAAAAGGCTCGGAACTGGTCCTTTAAGATAACGACCTGCTTCAGTATTGGCGTCCGCACAGTATCACGACTCACGTGCAATTTATGAATTAATATTAACAATGAAGAAAACCAAATGCTCAGTAAATTTTACTCCACAAAGAAAAGATTTACGGCGTGATGAACTGTCTGTCCAATCACTGCATTTTCCCCCATATTGTCGTTATTCTTACTTATGAACTATGGGTTTTCCGTCATTATTTTCAAATTCGTAATCATAGTAACTCAGCTTCATTCAATCGCTTGCTACTGACTAAAAGCCTTAGTTGTCAGCGTCGCTTTAAGTCGCCAAACAATGGCTTCCAGAAAGCTATCCTTCAGAGCTATATCTGATACAGCCATTGAGAAATCGCACGCACCGCTCAAAATGGTCAGCTTCGACGTTCATACCCGTGATGGAGACCGGACAATACACAGGTTTGGTTAGGAACCAGAAAAGTCTTTCTCTTGACGTACACTGTAATTCAAAGAACCACATACAAGATCCGAATGAAGCACTTTGAATAACTTCGCCTTCTATCACTTCGAAAAGCGTATTCACAATGCGCTTATGGGGGGACACTGCAACACCAACAGCTTCCACAAAGTTTCCTAGAGCCTGCACTTGCACTTATCATTATCGGTGAGTTGTTAGAAGTTTTCAAAAATTTTGTGAACCTGAATGGTTGCGTGAGTGCTGGTAGTGTGACCGATGAGATTTCCAACTATATATTTAAAACCAGGGTGGTGTACGCCAATCTGAACCACCTTTGGAGTCACCGTGATGTTAACCTTGCGGTAAAAGGTAAGGTATACGACGCGTCGGTGAGGACAGTTTTGCTCTATGCCTGTGAAACGTGGACCCTTTCGGTTGAGGAGGTCCACTGGCTGCGTTTTTGATCTTCTCTGTCACCATAGAAATGTTCGCATCCCGTGGAAATACCACGTATGCGAGGCGGCGTGTTTGGGTGTGATGGAGATTGTCACTCACTGAGTATGGTCATCTTAAAACACTAACTTCAGCGACTCGGACACGTGTTACCCATTTCGCCTCAGCGACTCCCACACCGCTTACTTGTCATGGAACTGGTTAGAAGAGAGATTATCAGAGTGTGATGTGATGCCGTCAGTGAGGGATGCTTGGGCTGGGTTGACATCTGTAGGTGTCTCACAACTCCCTGGATGAGGTCTGAGGGCTCTTGAAGCTCAATGACTGAGATAATAGTAGGCAGTGTTCAGAATCGAAACCAGTCGCGGCCATGCTGTAGTTTCCTAGTTCCTATAACTGAAAAGCAAAAAGACAGTAATCAATGCTTATCCAACTTTATCTTTGAGGCCACTTATGGTTTTCTTGTCTTCACAATGCTGCTTATTATTTTGTATGGAGCATCTGATGCCCATATTGTGCTAAGTTTGTGTTCTAACAATAAAAATACTGAGTACTACACATATTTTCTGTTCTAATTTCATCTCCCTTATTTTCAACTGCCTTCCCATTTGTTTACCAATTTCAACTGTACTTAACACTACCACAACTAATACAATCCGCACCCGTAGCACAATAAAACCCACTTATTACCACTCGATAATTTGAAGACACGTTGTATTGATGGATAATAGTTTCAGCTTATTGTTGATCGAAAAGTCACCAACGGGAAAATCAAAAAACCGTGTAATTTAAGAGATTTACGAGACTTTTCAATTCGGATGTTTTCTATTTGAAACACCAAGTTTCCACGACCAAAATCTGCGATTTTCGATTCACTAACATATGGTAAACTAACACAACTGCTCTTCAACACGGCAACATATCATCAACTATTTGGCTTTACAAACCAGTCCCACCAGAATTTGCTACTCATTGACCTAATTAATTGACTCCAATGGATCCCGGGTGAAAAATCCTGAGACACCGTGACCCGATAACCCTTCTTATAGTAAATATGTTTTATAGCTTAGTAAATTAAATATATATCGAGGTGCTGCACCACCATTTGCATGTAAGTCACTTGCATTACATGTTTACGATTAGTTCACATTCCCAAAGTAGGTACTAAAGGATGATCACTTGCCAAACAACAATACTGATACAACTAGATACCTTAGAATTGTATATACGGCACTGACAGAGATAATTGGTTGAAAAGTCTTGAATGGAAAAGATATACCGTAAAACGATAACAAACCTGAACTTTAATAACTCCATGAACTGAGAACTCCGTTGACGGTGATTGCCCAAGTAGCTTGAACGTCCACTCTGATCTCCATCGTCCTGTTCTACAACAAGTAACAAAATAAGCCATTTAAGCGCGTCCATCAGTAAACTGAATCGTTCGTACCAAGAAAAGAAAGGAATTATAAATTTATCATCTACCCTGAATATAACACATTCATACTTCAGGCACCATGTGGCTCTTCAAGTTTCGACTGAAACAAGTGGAAATACGGATGCCTGTTTCTGTATATAAAGCTCTCATTACTATGAACAACAATCAGTTGATCCAATAGTTAGGCAGTTAGTTCTACTATGATAGGAGTGGATTCAATGGAAAAGTTCGAGTTGAAATGAAATAGGTTTATAGAGATCGTCGGTCGTCACAACGAACTTATGCATGGCACACATACTATCACAGAATTATGTATGACTTGACAAACCTAAATCTGGTGTGGAGTAGTTAACCAAGGGAATTTACTAGTTTCCTTACTAAGGATTAATAATATCTCCACTTACACCCATTGTTTCAATTTACAGACTAGCTTACATCAAAACTTTCAAGAAATACATCATCTGACTACAGATACAAACAAGCAGACAAAATTAACGTACAACCTTGCAAAGAAATGTGTCAGCTAGAGTTACCCTACTTCACAGCAACACGTAATCAACAAGTGGATAAAGAAAAGAATGACATTTAAGTAGACAAAAGTACATGAGAAGAGAAAGAATTCGAAAAATGAAGGTTATTGACAAGGTTTAAACATTGAAATGGAAAAAGATTTGTAGCTCAGGATGAGGATGATGGTCGTTTGGTGTTCTATGAGCTTTGAAATTCGTCGTTCATACTTAAAAATGAGCCTCAAAAAGTGAATAAATCTGCACCACAGTCAACGATTTTCAGTCAGATAGCAAAGCGTTTGCAAACATTGATTCCTATAATTTCGAAGACCCTAAGCAAACACTACACCTCCCTACACTAGACTTCGTGGACTAGTGCTATGTCTTGATCTGGTTACTCTGAGCTTTCTTTTAAACTAATCCCACCTCGACTGACACTGTATACCGAAACAGTTGGTGGCTTGGCATGTGCAACACACGTTCAAGATATCTCAGTCTGTGAAGGTTCACAACCTCATCAACTGACTTAAATGCGTCACCTAGTAGCCTTTTCCAAACTTTGATATAGCTCACATGGTGATCCACCTATAAATCAGTAGTGCTGAGATGACAACGGTGGTGAAAAAGCTGTATCCTCTCATCATATCACCTTTTTTCAGTAACAATTTTCTAAACAATACAATGAGACAGTTCGGAATGCGGCTAAACAAAGACAAAATCAACATAGAACCTCGTACACGAGTGCATCAGCTCAGGTTGCCACACTTCACAGTAGTACACAAAGAACAGATGGATAGAAAAAGAGTGATCCCTAATTATACAAAGTTAAGTGACAGAGTAACCAATCTAAAGATGAAGGTTAATGCGAATATTCAAGTATTAGAAGAAGTCAAAGAGTGAATGCATCTGCGCTGTTGTGACCGATTTCGAGCCATGTCACCAAGACCCCTAAACTACTGACTCCTTTCGTTTCACCCACCCTAACCAGACAGTCTACATCTCTTCATACGACTCAGACTAACAGTAAGAGACTTAATCAAATGGTGCCAGTGGTTGAGGGAGATGACTACCAACCACTGAGTCATGGATGTAACCCATGCTACACCTACCGAGGTTAAGGTAACCAGGTAGTATTAATAGCCCTCACACAGGTGTGGCTCATTGCCTACTGCACAGATGTGCACAAGGTAGCTGAGTCCGCACGTGCGCAGTGTCACGTGTCACACCCTGAACCCTCCTTCAACCTAATCCAACTTTCCTTAGCATGGTGCGTCGAAGTAGGCGATGGCTAGGCATCCCCAACACATGCCCAAGCAATCTCAGTCGAGTAAGGTTCATAAGCCCCACTAAACAGCTTTTCGGTCCTGCCCAGTATTCATCACCTGACCCCAATATTTCCCACACAGTGATCCCACCAAACGTGAACAGTGTTACGAAGATATCTGTGACCAAACACCTGTAACCACTTCGTGTCTTCTACTTCTAAAGGCACCGACTCTCAGTCATAAAAAGACAGGACGAACCGCAGTGCACCACACCTGTCCATTCAGAGATAGTCAGATATCTGGCCAGTCGGCTACACAGATGACGTAAGTTAACAAATACCAAACAAGCCTACTATATTCCAGCTCAAATTTCGTCAGCAACCAACCAGTTCCGACTGATGCAACTCCCCGAGTAAATGAAGTGGTCGACGCACTCCATTACTCAACACCACATCCTTAAACAGAGCAGTTGCACACTGGTCCTGGAGTATCATCCTTTATTTGACAGCTGCGAGATGCGGACTGCAGTATGGCATACTCATCATTCATTACGTAGTAGGACAACTCCCCAACACCACAGAAGACATCATTTGACAAATATCAAATGGATCTTTCATCTCCAAGTTCAAAACATACATCCTTCGCTAACTTTCAAAATCGAAATCCAGAATGAACTACTGCGACAGTCTCAACACAAAATATATCATGAGAGAAACAAATCCTAAGAACAACATGCTAATAAAGAGATGCACACAATCAGGGAAGCATCCTGAACAGTTCAATGAAGATAACCACAGGGGAATCAGCCTGACGAATACAGTACATACGATGCAAGCTCCCATTACCTATGTGGAGGTGGGAAACAATAAATCCGAGAAAACCTGACAACTATCAGACCAAACCATGCATGTATCAGTCAGATACTTACCCTCCCTCAGGTTCCCGAACACTACCACACACTTAACGACATCCGACACTGGCTGTATTCATCGACCTGAAGGCACCATTCGACTCCAACGATCAACAGTTCTCATTGCAGTGTCTTCCACTTAAAGGTGTGCCCAGTAAGTACATCAACCTATTGAACGCTTTTAACTCAAACACCCATAGGCGCACCACAACCTATCGAAGACTGTGTACGTCAAGTGGTGTCCGTCAAGAATGTCTCCTCTATCCAGTCTCATTCAATTCCATCATACACGTACTTATCCAGGTCTCCCTCTCGTCGTCTGATTTCACACCGATTGGTGTCATCACAGAAGAAATCTCGGTAGATCTAGAGTACGCAGATAACACCTTCGATAGCGATCTGAGAGTACTCAGGATACGTTCCTCCTCACACAAGTGCAAGTTTTTACTCCAGGACTGGCCTTAAACAGTACCCCAACTAACAATAGAAAGTGAAGTGGTTGAGCGCGTTGAACACTTCACTCACCTGGGAAGTCGGATAAGCCACCGTGGCTCAGTGACCAACGAATTCTCTCCACACCTACAAAAGGCTTGATTGTCTTTCGCCACCTTACGCCATCTGTGGAGCCACCACGACATCCGAGTGTTTACTGAGAGTCGAGTGCACTGTGCTGTAGTTCTCTCTGTCCAACTGTGACTGTAAAACATGGCCATTAAAAGTAGAGAGCATGACGAGGCCTCAGGTGTTTGACCACCACTGCCTTCGTAGCATAGCCCGTGTTTCCTGGTGTCACCATGTGACTAATGCAGAAGTCAGACGTAGAGTTTTAGGCAGGAGAGGTAAGACACTTGATGCTGTTGTGAACCTTTATCGACCGAGATGACTGGGACATGTGTTACGTATGCCTAGCCACCATCTGCCCCGTCACTCAATGTTGACTGAAGTAGACTCAGGTTGGAAAAAGGCTCGGGTCAGCCAGACTAAAAGATGGCATCAATGGATGAAGTCGTTGACTGTTCAGTGAAACCATGTAGGGCGATGCAGACTAGCCGGTTGGGGTCGGCAGGACAAGAAAAACTAGTTGTTGGAGACTAAGTGATATGACTCAGAACCGATATCAGTGGTGCAGATGTATACACAAATTATCCTCATCTCAACCACTGTCCTGAATTCAACATCTGATTTCTCCTTCCTCTCTTTTACTACTTCCTACTTCTGTTAACCAATTTTCCTTTCCTTTTCCACTTTCTATTTTATTGCCTTGTTACATGATATGCTGATATGCAGTGAAGCAACTTGGACCATTACGCAGAAGTGCCTGGTCCTATGTTGATCTTGAGGATGATGGTGATGATGATTTAAGTCAACTTCTAGGAAGGTAGTTAACATAAGGGTGGTAGACTAAGCCTTAGGATATCATTGTACGCCTACCAGAAGCGATCAGGAAGTTGAACGTAAAAATGCAGTTCAAACCTACTAGACAAAAAAATACCAATGGCTAAGTATTACCTATGAACTGAGAACCTAGTGTATGGGAAGCAATACTCATGTGTACTAGGTTAGTCTACATTTAATTAACTAGGAATTTTTCCCTCATAGAGAACTGAATAAAATGAAAACTGAAATTCATATTCCTGGTTTTTAAAACAACAAATTAAAACTACGAAACTACCTGTTTGGATACAAAGTAAAACCTAGACTATTTCTAACTAGTTTCTCCCGACTTCAGAACTAGAGCTGATTTAGTGCTGAACCCGCTCAACCCCTAACGAGTGGTATAGGTACGAATTCCACTACAAAACAAGTTCAAATTAATCAGCAGTTTCAATGGACTATATAACATGCAATCTTCCACTTAGTATATGAATTTGTAAGTAGTTGCCGATCTGCGTCATTTTAACTGTATACCGAAAACGCCTTGGAAACAATCTCAAACTTCGAGTACATCAACCACCGATACCAAAAACGCCTGCACAGACAAGTAATTACGTAATTACGGACAGAGAACTATTGAAGTGGAAAATTACGTGAAGTAGATTAATGAAAATATTGAAAAATGAACATATCACTTACGATTGATGTTTAGAAAAGTGAGATTCGATGCATAAGACAAGACTTCTTGCACCGTCGTGCAGCCTCAAAGCATAAACGGAAACAGCTCCATCAGGGAAATGTTCGTTTACGTAAACAGTAGCGCATTCTTCTAGGGCACGTCTCCAATTCTCGAGATCATAATCCATATTCTCAACGCCGTTGCGATCAAGACTTTTGACATCACTGACTATATGCTTAAGGTGGTCAAAATGAAACGACACTTGTGATCGTGGACACATGAAATATCCGTTCCCTAAGTCTGCAAATGCAGTAATCAAAGTTGGATATTCGGAATCCGGTAGCTTCACATGGATCATTTGATCCTTGTTATATTGAGCTATTGCACTAAAAGAAAGTTTAGATTATAAAATAACACGTACGCCGCTAATTTTTTTTGAACCTGATGGTCATCTCCTGAGATACAACGAACATCTGTGTGGGAATGTGAGAAGTACTTACATCTTACCGTCTAATACTTCGTTGAATTCACAAGGAGGGGCAAGCAAAACCAATCTGGCACATAAAGTAGCCTTGCAATTCAAAGAAGAGATCGAAAATAAGACAAACGGCGGTGTACCTTTTCCTCAGGTGTAGCATATTCATCCACCATTCCGAACAACAGATGACGCGCATGCAATCAAATTGCGTACCAAAGATCCAAGCAATGCAAATGGTTGTTAACGGGATAGAAGCTTTCGTTTAACTGGCTCCAGCATCTAGAATTTGTGGATCACTACTTCTTGTGGTTGTTAGCCTCTGCACAAGTAAAGAGAGAGCAAAATGTGGTGGTTAAAACGTGAAGATTCAGTTAATTCCCATCCACATCTCAAGTAAGTATCAACCTCATGTTTAAAGGATTCAGACGAAGCAGCCTCCATTACTTCTATAGGGAGAACGTTTCAGACTTTAACACCTCTCAGGGAACTGACGCTCTGTCTGGTATCTAACCCGCTATGTTCTAGGCTTAGTCTCCATGTGTCTCTCCTAAGATTGATTCTACATCTGAGACTCAGTGAGTCTCTAGAAGGGCTGAAGATATTGTGGACCACTATCGAGTACCCTCTTAATCTTTTACATCCCAGAGGGTGTCGATAAAGTGCAACCTGTTGTTCTTCACGTTTTAGACCTATATCCACGAACAGATTTAGTTGATCGTGTCTGGATGCGTTTTAAGCCTGATTTTTCTTTTTGCAGAGAAAGGGAAGACTATTATCCCGAATTATAGATGACGCTGTATAAAGCTGTTGAAAGCTTGGTGAAAACATCTACGACTGAGGTGTCTGAAAGTTCGTCCAAGAATAACTAATGCCGAATTTACAGGGAATATATCTGCGTCACAGTTGGTATAGGATTTGAAGTCTTGGGGTACTAAAACACCTAAAGCCTCCTCCTCCTACGGCGCTTCAAGCCTCGTGCAGCTGAGGCTTTATACATGACATGCAGCATGTTTCACGTGAACAACCTTTCATTTTTCAAAATTAAGTGCCAGCCTACCACTGACTGTCCACTTTTGAAGCTGCGTTGTCTTCCTGCAGAGAAATATTATCTTCCTCTTTTTTATTTCTCTCCACAGTTTCACGTCATTAGCAGAAGAAGGGTTTCGGAAGAAACCTGATGGGGCAAGTCTTTTATGTATATTAGAAAGGAGAGAGGCCTCAGCACTGAGCCCCAGGAGAACTCCACCGGGACATTCTGTTTTTTCAGACACAAAAACTCACTGCAGTAGAGAGGGAAACGCAGGAGCTACATCAGGGATATTACAACTAGAAATAGTGATGTTTGTAGTTGCATGGCAATCGAAGACGTCTACTGGGGAGGTAAAGGTTGAGTCAACTTCATGATAATAGTGGCAGCACAAGGGAATGTGTACGGAGGTAGTTGTGTTGGAGTCCTACGGAATCAGTTAGTTGTTTGTGCCCAGACAGTATCTTGACCGGCTGACCGCGAGTCAAGTGTCGCTGTATAGCAGTCTAAAGATTCCTGAAGCCGTTGGTAGACAGAACGTTGGCTGCCTCACCAGCTAATGTCTTACAGTAGCTGTGACTTGGGAGAAAGATAAACTGTAAGGGAAAACTGCCTTTCGCCTTTGGTGGGTGGCCCGCAGGAAGACTGATATGGTGACCTTTCCGTAGCATTTCACTGTTTGGTTGGCTCAGATCACTTAGTATCCTGTAGGCCGTTTTCGACTAACCATATAAGCCGTGGTGACCAAGATAGCAAAGGCCTTGATCCTTTAGCCTACCCTATGTGTGGTTTTCGCTGCATCCTCACAACACCCGTATGGGCCCGCCTCTAGGCAGTTCGTATCTCCTTTTGATCATGGTGGTGCAATGATGTTGTGCTCCCCGAATGAAGAATTTGTGGGACTTCTCCCCCAACAGGGTGGGAAAATGTACGTGAATTTAAGAGAGATAGGGTGAGGAAGTCTCGCCATGACAAATACGAGGTCATCAAATTCCAAAAATGCTGAGGTGGTTGATAATATTGATAACAACAATATTATTTATTCCTGAATATACAGGCACATACCATTTTCACAGGCACGAATAAGTTACCATACAGACCACATATTTCTTCATGGAAAGTACTCTGAATCCCCACCTGCTGTCACTGGAAGATATAAGTGCTGCATGTTCATGCAATGGGACATCCCAGCATAATAGGTATGCAGAACTTTACAAGACGGACAAGTGGAAGTATTGTCTCCGCTTTAACAAAGCACCAGGTTTGTGCCTCGAAATGACGTACTTCCTGGAGAACGATAGAGCTTCAAGCTAGCACTTCCATTATAACAGTTTGTGCCTTTCGCTTAGGATAATGGTGAAAAGTCTACGAGGAACGCATACACAAGTTGTTTATCTACTATACTTCATTGATGATACCAGAAACGTATAATTCACGCAGGTTAATGCCACTTCACATCAGAGACTCATAATCCTGTTGAATGTTACGACTGAGAGCCAAATATCTTCATCAGTTGTGCCCTAGTGAATGCAGATAGTGCACTCGCTCTGTGATCTGTCACCTCCCAGTGCCGAAACGTCGTCGGCACAGATATTCATGCCACAGGTGTTGCACATGGTCTGGACCCACCTGACCACTGTCTTGGATTGATTGCACCTCCAGTATAAGTGTTTGCTCCTATTTGCTGCCTACAAAGCGAGCGTAATAGGACAAGACCAGAGTGCCTCGAGGTTTTGAAGCCACTTGTCTCTGTCTTGAAAACTGCCCCGGTGGTTTGAATCCGTTCACATAGCCCCACATCATTATCGTTCCTGTTTCATACACCTGGCCAACAGGGAAAGAAGGATTCACCGTTTGTAGATGGTGACAATAAAATTCCAGCTCCCCCGGGCGGGCTGAGGTGTTTGTCACAAGGTGATTGATATGAGCGTTGTTGACCAAGGTTAAGTGTGTATGTTTTGAAGTCACCTGTACCACCTGAGTTACCACCAGCATTGCAAATGCATGCCATCCAGAATGTTTTGATTGTGAGATGTGGTAGCAACCGGCAGATCACAGGACGTGCTTGTTTTTATGTAGTGTAGTGATAGCCAACATTATATCCGGCTGATTCACAGTCGTGAGATCTGGCGCCACCTTGCTGTAGTGTGGCGAAAAACTTGCCACCTTAAGACCAATTAGGACGAGATATAGGCCGGATAAAGACCAACTGACTTGGTGACCAGTGGGTGTAAGTGACGCCAGGGAGAGTGGATAATTGCCAGGTACTGCCCAGGATTTTAAGGTTGAACTTGAGTGCGGATGAGCTGAACAATCGCTATTTGGTCTTGCTATGAGGCAGGCTGAAGAACAACGCCCTATATTCTTCTAAGTGCGACTGGATGAGTTTTGGGCCGGCACTAACTCCTACACAGTACTCTTGCACCTACTGCCCAGCGATTTACTTAACCTGGGTCGATGTCTAAAGGAGCCCATATTATGGCTGTTGATGACATGTATATTGTCTGCCACCTGCAGATTTGAAACGGGCATGTGACGCATAAGCTGGCACAGGTGAGGGATTAAGCTGGTTCCACCTTAGACATTCCATAGGTCATGTTGAGATAAGAGTTTGGTGGAGTCGATAGGGTCATGGAGAATGCGGCTTCTGCAGAAGATATAGTAACGTCTCGAAAACTATGTTCGGTCGTCGATAAAGCATTTCAAGTGGTGGTAAAGTCTACAAGTGAGAGGATTCGGGCAGGATCTCAACTCCTGAAATTTGTTACGGCATGCCTATAGGATAATATGTTTCCATATGACTGAGTGTTGCAGGTTTATCGAAGTCCAGTGTTGTAGTACCAGCAGCGATGCGGCTAAAGGTTCATGGTCTTCAACTAATATTGGGATAGTCTCTTTTCGATGTTCGTGCGCATCAGCCGGCCAATTTGCAGATTTTTCCACAGCTGAGGTTGTGGACTTCACACGAGAAGGGGTAGTGGCTGTTTTTGTTATCTTACACAAATATGATTTTGGCAAGATGCTAAGCCTCGTGCTAAACTCACGTCGTCATAAGGTGTGGATATACCGAAATGCGTACCACCCGATAGAAACTGTTTGTCATATTTGGGGTCACTGGATTTGAACAGCTTGAGAAACGTAACCTTCCCCGATTTCTAGTAAAGACAAACAGATAAGACGCCTGCAGCTCAACGCTACCTTTCTTTTCCGTCTTTTATTTGGAAGACCTAAGACGAATTGTGCTATTGCTTTTAAACCAACACCGGCATACAGTCACCGTAATAGCGAACACACCACTCCAACAAATAAGTATCGCTCAAAACTTCGGTGTAGGTTTTTCAAAACGTAATATAGTACGCTGAGGAACAAACTTCCCGCTTTTATACGAGAGCGTCGATCTCTCGGCCAGCTCCAAAGCTCACTTAGTGGATTCCTTCTATCTAACGATTCCCACCAATTCTTTGACGGCCGAATCACAAACGGTGATACCATGTGCAGCGGTGCTGCTGGTACCTGGACCCATGGGAGACTGGCATACCAAAGACAACGTCGAAAGACAAGCGCATAAGTTAAGCTAAAATCTGATAAAACTACTGACTTGGAGTAGACAACAAGCAGGGCGTGATGCGACTTGCAACACTTAACTGCGTAGTAACCCCGATTTGACCTCCATTTCTTCGTAGCCTAACTGATCTCTCGATTTATCACCTATTAATTCTGAACCACGAAAAATAAATATTTTACTCCCTATTTCAAGTAAATAAACTTAGCTTGTCACAACTATGGCTCACATTTCTGACTTTCATCTCACTCTAGACAAATGTTGTAGGTCAACCACCCACCTACCCCCACCGTACAATATCAGTGAACGGTTAGCAGAAGGAAAAGAGGTTTCTTTAAAGGAAATTTTATGATACCATATGTTACAAGATCATTGGTGACAGGTCGTAAGATAACTCAAAATGTAAAGAAAGCCTGACAACATGGGATGGCGGATCTAATCGTGGGGGCTTATGGAAGCCATCCTTATCTGTGAGATACAGAAGAGTGATTGAGGCCCTTGAATGCCAGAAAGCAGGGTACAACAAACACTACGAACGACGCCGAGTACGTGATAACCAGTGCAACGACCTCTAACCTCCTTCATGTCAGCCATACCACTATGGCTGAGAGGGTAGAGGCTAGGGGGGAAGAAGGTAGAACATGGTACAGGTTAAGTAGCAACAGACTAAAAAGCTACAGAAAAAACAAGACAACACGAGACGGCAGACCTGACGGTGGGGGCTCATGGAAACCACCCTTAACTAAGGCCATTAGACCCAATATACGCCC